GCCTGGCTAATTTTTGTATTTTTAGTAGAGACAGGGTTTTATCATGTTGGCCAGGCTGGTCTCGAACTCCTGACCTCAAGTGCTTCGCCTGCTTCAGCCTCCCAAAGTGCTGGGATTACAGGCATGAGCCACTGCGCCTGGCCTTGAACATGACTTCTGCCACATCAGCTGACCTCCCCTCTGAGAAACTCCAGTTACACACAAACCTTAGACATAGACACAAACCTTCTCAGTCTGTGCTGGGCCTCTTAACCTCTCATTAGTTTTCACATCTCTCTGTGCTACATTCTAGACAAATGATAGGTTTGTTCAGATCACTTTCCTTTCTTTCATTCTGTCTCTAGCTATATTTGATCTTCTGTTTACCTCGTCTGTCGAGTTTTTTAATTATTATTAATTTTTTCTTCTTAAGTCCTGTTTGGTTGTTTTTCACATGACTGGTTATTTTTTAGGCTGATGGCATTTCCTCCTGCCCGTCCCTGGAAGCAGGGGAGTTGCAAGTGTTTTATATTTCATCCGGCACTGAAACAGCTTTCAACAGGGCGGCCAGAGAGGAACTTTTCTCCCTAGGATTTTGTTTTGTTTTGTTTTGTTTTGTTTTTAAGAGATGGCTAGCTCTGTCACACAGGCTGGAGAGCAGTTGTGCGATCATAGCTCACTGCAGCCTCAGATTCCTGGGCTCAGGCCATTCACCCACCTCACAAGTCTACAGGCACACACCACCACACCTGGCTAATTTTGCTATTTTTGGTAGAGTTAGGGTAGAGTAGGGGAGTGTCTCTATGTTGCCCAGGCTGATCTCGAACTCCTGGCCTCAAGCAGTCCTCCCACCTAGGCCTTCCAAAGCGCTGGGGTTACAGGCGTGAGCCACCACTCCCAGCCTTTCCAGAGTTTTATCTTTGCTTTTCCCCATAGCTCGTGACTAGGCTCAAGTGTCTCCTATTCTTAAAAACAAAAAAAGACTCCAAAATGCCTTTATTCAACCCCATTTTCCTCTACAGCTAATGTCTCTCTCTTTTCTGTTTCTTTTTTCAACCCAAATTCAAAAACCACTAACCATCTGCTTCTGGGATTGCCGTTCCAGGCACCGCCACTGCGACGTGATTTCTAACTCGCCCTCACAAGGTCAGCTTAGTTAATGGAGTCAGTGGCTGGTTTTTAGTCCTTATTCTGGTTTGGTTTGGTTTTTTTTGAGACGGAGTCTTGCTCTGTCGCCCCAGCTGGAGCACAGTGGCACAGTCTCAGCTCACTGCAACCTCCACCTCCCATGTTCAAGCCGTTCTCCTGCCTCAGCCTCCAGAGTAGCTGGGACTACAGACACCGGACACCATGCCCAGCTAATTTTTTGTATTTTTATTAGAGACAGGGTTTCACCATGTTGGCCAGGATGGCCTCGAACTCCTGACCTCAAGTGATCAACACACCTCAGCCTCCCAAAGTGCTGGGATTACCAGCACTTTCCCTTGCTTTTTTCCATTCAAAGAATGTCATGAAGATGGAGGAGCGCCTCATTCTTTTTTAAACAGTGTGTCGTGTTCCGTTATCCTCACTGCTTTCAGAGTCTTCTCCTGGTTCCGCCCACTCTTCAGACCGTGGCCAGAGTCATCTTTCTCAACTGTAGTGTGGTCCTGTGCCTCTGCGGGGTGTAAGCCTCCCTTCGTTCTCCCCACCTATGGGCAAAGTTCAGAACTCAAAGCTGCTTTCACAGGGGTCCAGCTGACCTCATCCCCCCGGTTTGCACCTCTCTCTACCTTTTCTGCAACCCGTGTTGTATCTTGTGTTTAAGCTGAGTTCACTGCTTTATCCTGAGCATTCACCATTTTTCAAACAGGCTTACATTTCCACATCTTTGCTGATTCTTTTCTCTCTGTTAGGAATGCCCATAGGTGTGGTGATGTTAAGGTGCTGTTTCAAGAGTTTGTTTAACGGGCCAGGTGCAGTGGCTCACACCTGTAATCCCAGCACTTTGGGAGCCCAAGGCAGGTGGATCACCTGAGGTCAGGAGTTCGAGACCAACCCAACCAATATGGTGAAACCCCATCTCTAATAAAAATACAAAAATTAGCCAGGCGTGGGGCGTGTGCCTGTAATCCCAGCTACTAGGGAAGCTGAGGCAGCAGAATCACTTGAACCAGGGAGGCGGAGGTTACAGTGAGCCAAGATAGTGCCATTGCACTCCGGCCTGGGCAACAGAGCAAGACTCCATCTCAAAAAAAAAAAGGAAAAAAAAAGTTTGTTTAACCAGCTGTCTCCTTAAATCTTAACTATCTCTTAGGGCTTTGCTGAGTTGTCGCCTTTACTGTGAAATCTCTGAACCCTCCCTGGACCTACTCCTTCCTGGGCACTCATGGAGTCCCTGTAATGGCATTGAGCATTGTTACACATCTGTCTTCCCTTAGAGTTGGTGCTCTGTGGCAGAGGCACTTGTGGAACTCCCTAAAAACACACACACCCAGGCTTTACCCCCATAAATGTGTCCTATAGGTCTGGGTCTGAGTCCCAAAGAGTTTCTAATCCATTGCCTGAGTTAAGCATCAGTGCGTAGATGGGCTCCTCTATGGAAGGGAAGCCTCTGATTCATCTGCCGAGGGTGAGGTAGGACAACAGGAAGCATCAAAGGATGTGCTGAGGCTAGAAAGGAGATGGGTTCAGATGGAAGCACGTGATGACTGAGCGGCTGAAACTTTGATTCTCCAGCCTGTTGGGAATGGGTTCAAGTTCACTGCTTTTGGGAGCATGGTGACATTAAAGTGGTGTTTCAAGATTAATCCAGCTGGAGAACCCAGCAGAAGTGTAGAGAAGAGGGAGAAGGCAGGAGGACAACAGACGGCGGCTGTAGTTGGATTGTGTACCCCAAAGCTCATGTATTGGAAACTTAACCCCCAAGGACAGCCTTGTTGAGAGGTGGGGACAGGAGGAGGTGATTCGTGTTATCACAGAAGTGGGTTCACTGTACAAGCGAGTTTTGTCCCTTTCTTGCTGTCTCTTACCGGTGATAACTTCCGTTGTCTTACGGTACGGCAGGAAGGCCCTCAGCAGATGTGACCCTGGATCGTGGACTTCCCAACCTCCAGAATCACAAGCCAAGGAAGTTTGTTTCTTGTACAGGAGCACAAAACAGATGAAGACAATGGCTGTGGCAGTAACGCAGGCACGTGCTAAAATGTGCTGGATTTGGGAATGGGACCAGAAGGGAAGTGGATACAACTCACGTTGCAAGGGAAGAGTCCACAGGGCTGGGCAGCGGGCCACTTGTGAGTGGCAGGAGGGGAGCGTGGGAGATGTCTCCGTGGCTCATTTGTGTGACGAGGCTCCGGCCCTGGGTCTAAGGGGTGGGTGCTGAGCCACACATGTGGCAAAACCAGCCCTTTCAGGTGAATGACAGAAAGACCTAGTTACTTGAGCTGTTCCGTATACCCAAGGGTGGCCATTTGCTCCTGAGATGGTGGTGGGACGGGGAAAGGAGGGCTTTGTGCATTACACCATCTTGGGCATTCTAGGGCCTCCTGGAATGTACGGGAAGATGAAGGGAGCGGCCTTTCTCTCCTGGCTCCACAGCCCACCAGCTCTCCTAGGACCATCGACTTTGTCTTTGTTTTACTATTTGGAATAGTGGCAACTTTATGTATATGCTTATCTTCTGGTTTCCTAGCCTTGCTCTTAAATCGCCATTTGATGTGTACTGATTGGGCAGAAATGTGTCTTTTTAAATCTGTTCTGCAGAGATGTTTGTAAGGTTTCTCAGCGGAGGTTTTCACGGTAATGCTTGAAGTCTTGAATGACAGGGTTCCCCTAAAGGTGTTTAATGCTGATTGGACTTTCTCCACAAATGGTCACATCTCTGTTAATCAGCAAGAGGCTTATTCCTATGAGTCTTCTTTGGTCTTCTAGAAGGTTTTGTTGAACTCTCTAACACACTGTTCAGGGGCTGAGCTGGATTTCCTGCTAAAAGGGTCAGAGGACCAGGCACAGTGTCTCACACCTATAATCCAAGCACTTTGGGGAGGCTGAGGCAGGCAGATCACTTGAGCTCAGGAGTTCAAGACCAGCCTGAGAAACATAACAAAACTCTGTCTCTACAAAAAATAAGCTGGGTGTGGCAGTGTACGCCTGTAGTCCCAGCTACTCACAAGGCTGAGGTGAGAGGACTGCTCGACCCATGAGGTCAGGCTGCAGTGAGCTCTGATTTTGCCACTGCACTCCCGCCTGGGTGACAAAGTGAGAACTTGTCTCCACAAAAAAGTAGGGTAGGGGGCGGTCAGAGGACCATATGACATTAAGGGGCTTACAGGGGACCGTTTCAGTGTCTTTGCTCCTCGAAGTAAAAATGGGAACTTCCTCGTAGTATTAGCTTGGGGCGCTTTACTTTTTATGTACAACCTGCAGTAGCATGAAGCTTCCACAGAGCCTCCGGTTTTGAAGATGTCAGCCAAGCTCCCAGTGGTAACGTGTTAGCTCTTGTCACCTCCCCTCAAGTCTGAACTGTAACGGAGCTGGAGAAGGAACCACAGTTTGTGGTGTCTGAGGCTGAAAAGACAGGGCGAGCCTGAGTGTGAAAGCTTGGAAGCGTAGACCCTCGGTGTGGAAGATGCCACGTTACTCTGTCATATTTCCAGCACCAAAGTAATCTTGAATTTACCCATCTTTCCTTGAGATTATTCCAGCTGGGCATGGTGACTTGTGCCTGTAATCCCAGCTACTCAGGAGGCCGGGGCAGGAGGATTGCTGGAGCCCAGGGGTATAGTGTCAGCCTGGATGACATAGCAAGACTCCATCTCTGAAAAAAATTGTAATTATTCTTAGGTCTTGAGAATGGTTAGCAGTGTAAAGGAGAAGTGGCCATCGGCATCCTCAAACCAGCTGACTTAGTATTTCCCAGTCCCCTGTATCCTAATGGTCACGTCTGAGAGTGGAGGTGGATCTCAGCCATGTTTTTGAGAGATTCGGGCATTTGACTGTCTAGGCTCACTGACCTTTGTCATTTGTGTTTGTGTCTCTAGAAGTGAGCTGTTGCTGCAGAATGGGCTGCTGGCTCCTGCCCTGCTTCCTGTGATTGAGCTGGGCCCTGAGGACTCTGTGGGGATGCCTGTAACCCACCAGAAATCAGACGCATCAGACATGAACTCGGACATGTCCCCCAGCTGCAGGCCCCGGGCCTTCAGCAGAGGCGGCAGCTTGGAGAGTCGAAGCAGCAGCTCTCGGTCCAGAAGCTTCACTTTGGTGAGTGACGGTTTTTCTTTCATGCTCTCCTGTGCCCGAGTTGGTGGATTTTGCCTCAGTCCCTTTCCCTTAAAGGAGTATCTTTCCAGATCTTTTTTGGGTCAACTAGCTTGGTGTTTTGGAATACTTCTTTGTGAAATGGCTCTGTATTTTTAATCATCTTAAATTTTGCACAGATGTAGAGCACTACCCATAGCCATGAAGCAAATCCCTTGCTGTGGCCAATAACTCATGGCTGCTTAGACCCAGGCAGGAGCAGGCTGAGGAGCCCATGGGATAAACACAGCTCCCTCTCAGGTCTCACTCCTGTGCAAGTACAGATGTTTTTCTGTCCTCCTCTCTCAGCATCCAGACGCTTGCGTAGCTTTGGAAACTTTACAGAAAGCGTTTGCACAGTTCAGAGGATCTTGTACCTTCCCCGGTGAGGACATTCATCTTTCAGGAGCGGGGAGACCATGACACTCACTCCTAGAGGGAGGAGCACTGGAGAGAATCGGCCCCCTGGGCCTCAATAGGAACTGTCGGGGGCACCTCTCAGGTCCTCTCCTTCCGGTAGGAGCACCAGTTTCCCTCAGATACACTGAGCCATAAAATTAGCCCCAGTTATGCTGAAGATAGCTATACATGGCATAGGGGTAGTTACTGATACTGACGGAATTTTCTAGACCCCCACTTGCATATTTTCTTTTTTTAGACCATTATGGTAATATGTGATAAATATTATTTGATTGGCTGGGCACGGTGGCTCACGCCTGTAATCCCAACATTTTGGGAGACCAAGGCGGGTGGATCATCTGAGGTCAGGAGTTCAAGACCAGCCTGGCCAACATGATGAAACCCCATCTCTAATAAAAATACAAAAATTAGCAGGGCATGGTAATCCATGCTCTGGCCACCTGTAATTCCAGCTACTTGGGAGGCTGAGGCAAGAGAATCGCTTGAACCAGGGAGGCAGAGGTTGCAGTGAGCCGAGATTGTGCCATTGTACTCCAGCCTGGGTGACAGATCGAGACTCAAAAAAAAAATTTATTCACCAAAAGAAAAATATGTAACAAATTATTCTCTGAATGTCTGAGAGTCTAACAATACTGAAGAATCAAGTTTGAAACTTTTTTTTAATTTTTAAAAATAATATAAGGAATTTATTTAAAGACATATTTTTAATGCAGATGCAGAAACACATACAGATGAATATTTCAGTAAGGAGTATGTGCTCCCAGGCATAGTTAGGACACAGTCCTGCTCTGGAAGGGTTTTTCCAAAACTCAGCATGACCAACGGCTCTAGGAGAGTCCGAAACACTCCCTTGCACCCATGGTGCTGGATAAAATCGAGAGTGCTTGGCAGGTGATCTTGGTATCAGAGTCAACACATAAAGCCAATGAAGAGTCAGGGTCAGGGTCTTTGAAGGATTTTCTTGCCTTTCACATTCATTTTCCTGTTGAACTTGAGGCAAAACTCTGAACAGCCTCTGTGCCGTGGCCTGTCTTGGTAGAGCAGCAGTGAAGCACCTGCTGTTCTGGAGGAGCCCGTGATACTAAGGGTGTCGCATGTTGGAATCTGGGATGAGAAAGTTGCTTTTGTATCTCCATTCTAATTATACTGGGTCTATTCCTCATATTAACCAACTTAGCAATCCCGTGTGATAGCTCAGTGTACATATTCCAGAGACAGCAAGGGCTGCATGACCCCTGCAGACATGCCCACCAAGGAGCAGAGCTAACCGCTCTGTACCTAACCTTTTGTCTCTTTGGTGTACGTATAAAAATGTTATATGTGATTTATACATTGGCTTAAATACTGAAGCATTACTCCAGGGGTTAAGGACGTAAGACTGGAGCTTCCACTCTCGTGACTATGGTCCATTCAGAGAGACTACGTTGCTGCAGATTTGGTTCCAGGCAGCAGCTGGGCTGTGTGGGCCCAGCGCGAGCCTCCGCTGCCTCCCAGTGGGCTCTGGGGCTGGGACAGCCTTCAGTCACCATGCTGGGGCGAGAACAGCGCCCTCACTCACTTGGTGACGAGTCTCCGGTGTGGGCTGCCCAGGAAGGAGGCATAACCTTGATAAATCAGTTTCTTTCAGCCAAGACAGTCCCACTGACCACTGAGGGCCACCTTCAGCTGTGCCTGCAGCAGACAGGGGACAAGGTCCTTCCTCCCAGCTGGACCTGGCTGGTGCATCACACCAGCTACCACACGAGGCTAGGAGAAAATGAAAAGAGGTTTCTTACAAGGGTCTTCTTAGAAGCCGCAAGCTTGTAAAGTGAATTCAGGGAGCTTAAACAACAGCTATAGAAATGCAACGCTTCATAGAATGTGCGGGGGAATGGCATGCTCAGGTCCACTGTAGAATGTGCAGGCTAACAGGAAACTTGGGTCCGTCCATTGTAGAATGTGCAGGCTAACAGGAAACTCAGGTTTCCTACTCGGGAGGCTGAGGCAGGAGAATCGGTTGAACCAGGAGGCAGAGGTTGCAGTGAGCTGAGATCACGCCACTGCACTCCAGCCTGGGCGACAGAGCAAGACTCCGTCTCAGAGAAATGCCCAGCGCGCCCCACCCCCGAGCCGTGCCAGCGCCAGCTTCTCCTTCCCTGGTGTCAGTGTCCCATCATCCTGCCGCCACCGTCTTGTCTGGATCCGTGCTCCTCCTCCTGTCTCCTTCTCTTATATGTAGACTTTTAAATTACTTTTTCTTTGTTGCTAAAGATGAGGTGGTGAAAGGGAAACATGCCTTCCTCCTCCGTATTGCACATTTCTTGATTCTGCCAGTCTTACGGGCATGAGTTTGATTTTAACTTAAAGGATTCCTATTCTACCCAGTTCTTTCCTAATGGGTACATCATCCAGTAGCACTCCTGTGGTGTATGTGATGTCTCTGTCTGCTCCCCGCCGGGCCTGTCCCTGTGTGTCATAGGGCTGAATAATGGAAACGGCATTGTAAAGCCACTCGTAGGACGCCCATAATCAAGTTACATCTGCATGGTGTGTCTGGGGTCACAGAATCCTGCTGCATATCCTGTCTTATTACAGGATGCTGGAGGAATGTTCTGGTCGTGTTTCCTTGCCTTCCATTCAGGCCTGTTCAATGTTTGCAGGCATTTTCCTCCAGGGACAGTTACTGAGCTAAGTTTACTTGTCATCTGATTATTTCAGTTGTGCATTTTCCTTAGAACTAGCAAAATGAAGGCCTGGCGCGGTGGCTCATGCCCATAATCCCCGCACTTTGGGAGGCTGAGGCAGGTGGATCACCTGAGGTCAGGAGTTTGAGACCAGCCTGGCCAACATAGAGAAACCCCATCTCTACACCCAGCTAAAAATAAAAAATTAGCCAGCTGTGATGGCACATGCCTGTAATCCCAGTTACTTGGGAGGCTGAAGCAGGAGAATCACTTGAACCTTGGCAGGCAGAAGTTATGGTGAGCCGAGATGGAGGGAAACTCCATCCCAAAAATATATATATATATATGTATGTGTGTGTGTATGGCATTTAACCTTAAATGACAACTAAAGGGTTTTTGTGGTTTCTGTTTGGTCGCCCAGGCTGGAGTGCAGTGGCACAATCATAGCTCACTGCAGCCACGGCCTCCTAGGCTCAAGTGATCCTCCTGCCTCAACCTCCCAAGTAGGGTAACCTCCATGGCAGGGGTTCAGCACCACACCTGGAAATTGTTTACATTTTTTTGTAGAGATGAGATCTTGCTATGTTGAACAGGCTAATTTAGAACTCCTGGCCTCAAGCAACCCTCCTGCCTCAGCCTTCCAAAGTGCTGGGACTATTGGCATGAGCCACCGCACCCAGTCTGCTCAAGTTTGTTTTTTTTTTTCTTTTGCAACCTCTGCCTGCCTGGTTCAGTCAATTCTCCTGCCTCAGCCTCCCAAGTAGCTAAGATTACAGACGTGTGCCACCACACTCTACTAATTTTTGTATTTATCCTACTAAAGTTTTGTAAATAGTCACGATTTTCACACAGGCACTTAGCAGCCAGTCCCTCTCACAGCATTAGAGCATATTTAAACGTCATACTCTACTTTTTTGAAAGTGTGAATTCTGAGAGAAGCTGTAAGTTTTATTCTAACTCATCAGATCCTTTCTTTTTTAATTTGACTTTTCTCTTCAGAACAAAAATCTACCATAGTGGTTTCTTCAATTAAGTGGTGTCCTTTAATTCCTGAGGTCATGAAAGATGAGTAAGTCAGCAGTGTTTTTAGGCCTCTAAACTGTACTTCATGTAAATGCACCTCTTAGAGGGCTTTGTACGTAAAACATAACCTAGTTAGGCTGTGAGTTTCTTGAGAGAGAGAGATAACCTAGTTCTGATTTATAGAGGTTTTTGTTTTTTTTTAAGCAAACATTATTCCTAAAAGAAGATAAAAGATGAGCTGGGTGTGGTGGCTCACACCTGTAACCCCAGCACTTTGGGAGGCCAAGGCAGGTGGATCTCCTGAGGTTAGGAGTCCAAGACTAGCCTGACCAACATGGAGAAACCCTGTCTCTACTAAAAATACAAAATTAGCTGGGCGTGGTGACACATGCCTGTAATCCCAGGTACTTGGGAGGCAGAGGCAGGAGAATCACTTGAACCCGGGAGGCGGAGGTTGCAGTGAGCTAAGATCGTACCATTGCACTCCAGCCTGGGCAACAAGAGCGAAACTCCATCTCAAAAAAATGACCGCCCGATTTTAATTGCAAGTACCCTAAAGTTTGAAGTGCTAGTTGGAGTGTCACCTGGGATGTAACAGATCTCTGCTCTTTCGACACTTTTCTCCTGAGTCAGTGCAAGTTAAAAATTTTTAGGTGGGTCCTTGTCCAGTGAAACATCCTCGGCTGGGAAGTTAGTTGGTTATCTCCTCTCCTCTCATCTTGTTTGAATATGGTGCGGACTAAAGCAGACAGTGTTCCAGGCACCTACAGAAAAGTGGTGGCTGCTCGAGCTCCCAGGAAGGTGCTTGGTTCTTCCACTTCTGCCACTAATTCGACATCAGTTTAATCGAGGAAAGCT